AGGAAAGAAGGGAAAGGGGAGACATGATTGAAACCTTTAAGTACATCAAGGGGGTAAATAAGGTTCAGGAGGGCAGTATTTTCAACATGAAACCAAAATCAAGAACATGGGGACATTATTTATTTCAGGTACTTATATAGCGCCGTCAATTTACACAGCGCTTTACATATATATTGTGCATTCACATCAGTCCCTAACCCTCAAGGGGTGTACAATCTAAGGTCTCTAACTTACATTTATACATACAAATACTAGGGCCAATTTAGACAGGATCAAATTTTTAAACCAGCATGTCTTTGGAGTGTGGGAGGAAACCGGAGTACCCAGAGGAAACCCACGTAGGCACAGGGAGAACATGCAAACTCCAGGCAGGAGGTGCCGTGGCTGGGATTCAAACCAACGACCCTGGTACTGCCAGGCGGAAGTGCTAACCATTTAGCCACTGTGCTGCCCAACCTGACCTTAAACTAACTGGAGGAAGGTTCAAAATCTCAGAAAGTACCATTTTACTGAAAGAGTAATTGATACTTGGAATAAACTTCCAGCAGAGGTAGTGAATAGTCAACAGTAAATAGCTTCAAACATGCGTAGGACAAGCACAGATCTATAAAAAAGTTAACCAAGAGAAAATAACCACATTAACCCCCTTGGCGGTATTCCCGAGTGTAGCTTGGGGTAAATTTTCAGTACCAGAAGCAGTAACTCCGAGCTACACTCGAGATTCCCCTGCAGCGTTGCTCTGAGATCCCTCCAGCACTTACCTTGTCGTGCGCTCCTGCGATGTCCCCCCTGTCCTCCGGCCGATGTCGGCATCCATCTTCCGGGTTCCGTTCCCTGCGAGTATCAGGACGTACGGGGGACAGAATTGGCGGGAAATTCAAAAATATAAAAATTTGACATTCACTCAATACACTAAAACCTGATAGTATTACATTATTATATCAAACCATTTCACATACATTTTGTCCCGAGTGCTTTGTCCAGTGCCCTGCCTGCATTTTTACTGTTCTTTCTGCCTGGAAACTGAGAAACGTCCATGGCATCCAAAAAGCGTCCCTTTAGGTCAAAAGTGGTATTAGACCAGCTAGAGAACAGCGATAGTAAATCAGAACCACTTGCAGAATTGAGTGATAATGATTTGTGGGGAAATTTGTCATCAGACACTGAAAACAATTTTGCGACTGAGCTCAGTGATGTGTGAACTTAGCGCTCTATTTCAAATTTCAGTGTTTTTGGTTTGATTGCATTATTGAATTAAATTTATTATTATTATATTATTATTTTTTTTTATGATTATTTATTATATTATAACTTATGATTTTGTGTTTCAAATTTTATCATACCCGGGATGTTTACTAGACTCTTGTTTGGACAGATTTCAGTGAGTTATTCCTAAGAATTACAGGCCTACAATAAAAAAAACATATTTCCATTGAAAACAATGTACCGCTTTGAGCACAAAAATACTGACATAATCAGACCGCTAGGGAGGTTAAAAAAACACAAAAAACAAGAAAAAAACAACAACGGGCAGACTCGATGGACCACTCAGTCTTTTTCTGCTGTCACTTTTCTTTGTTTCTTCAGCCACCCAGGATGTACATTTGTTCCGTGTACTGGTGTGTAGGCAGCCTATTTAAATCAATGACTGGCAGCTGGCTGCATGGACCTGCACAGATCTCCACACATATTCATGTGGGTCTGATGCACAGATCAGAATGCAGTCTGTCTGCATCCTGTGCATTCTTGGTGCCTTTGGCTCCTGGTGCTAGGATAAGCTCTTTTCACCCCCTTTCAGGCCTCAAGCTCCAAGTCTAAGCCCAGGGCACAAATCCATTGGAAGACCTAGACCTCCAAAACCTGCCAAGTCTGGGTCCAGTTGTTTCCCAATGAAAGGGCTTCCCCACTTGTCAGAGTGGGAAGGGGGGGGGGTCTTGCTGCCTTTCAACAATCTGGTCTCAAGAAATCTCAGATTTTTCGGTCCAGAGTGCCATTTCTAGGGGCTAAAAACTAGAGTTGTATATTCTGCCAACTCTCCATGCTTTAAAATGTTCTGCCCTGTGGAAACAGGTAGATTTCTATACTGCTATTCAACAGCTCGTTATTTAGGGGATGTTTACTTTTCACATTCCTATTTCTCCTCATCAACGGTAACTGTTTTTCTCAGGGCACACAACATTACCAGTTTGTTTCTCTTCTCTTTGCCCTGTTCACGGCCTCCTGTGTCTTAACCAAAGTGCTTGCCTGGCTTCTAGCTCGATTCCACTCTCAGGATGTCAATCAATGTCCAAAGGACAGAGCAGAATTTGAATAGAATTGAATAGATCCTCAACATTCAGGAGTGATCGCTTGACCTGACTCACCGATTTGAGTACGCAGGCCAGGATTTTTCTACTCTGGGACAAACCTCTGTCCCTCTCCTCACATGCTTGGAACTTTTGGTGCCAGTCCTCATTTCATGCCTGCATGAGGGTCTATGACCTGATGGTAGGTTATTTTGAGGCAGTACCATGTGCCCAGTTTCACTCCAAATCATTGCAACTCCACACACTGGCTGTATGGGTAAACAAACTCAGTCCATGCATCTGACCAGCAAGGAAAGACTCTCTGATGTGGTGGATTTGCAACCCAGTGTTGGAGCTAAGAAACCCTCTTTCCCCAAAGTTGTGGGAAGTTGTCTCGATGGATGCCAACCTGTCAAGCTGAATGTACAGTCCTGTACTGAATGAGTCCTGAATGTACAGTTGGTGTAAAAGACTTGGCTATCACAAGAAGTTTGACTTCCAATCAACACGGTACTGTTGGGCAATTGTTGATTGTCCCTTTAACACTGGACCTCTCAACTGCAAGGTGATCAATCAGATCCAGTTGGACAGTGCCATAGAAGTGGCCTACAATAGTCATCAGGGAGGCACAAGAAGTTATGCTGGTTTGAGAGGCCGATCTTGTTCTCACTTGAGTGAAACTGTACATTCCAGTCCTGTCCACTGTCCATATTCCAGGCCTGGGAAATTGTCAGGTGAAGTTTCTCAGTTGGCAGAATCTGTGGAATACTCCCTCCTTATGGAGGTATTTACTACAGGTGGGAGATACAGAACATGGATCTTTTGGCATCCAGATTAAAAAACAAACTGGAAGGATTTGTTGCCAGGTTCAGGACCCTCCGGTATTCTCAGTGGATGCTCTGGTGACTGTAGGATATATTCAACCTAATCTCCCTCTCCAGTGTAGGGAAGAAATGGAGGGCATTTAGGCGATCTATATTGCACAAAGCTGGCCTAGAAGGATATGGTACTCTTGCATACTCAGAGTCTTAACAAAATACAATATGTCTCTGCATTTTTTTTATAACAGACCAAAAAATTTTGCTCCAGAGCTACAGTATTAGATATCGCCCTAATATCCAAAATACATCAAACAATATACAGAGCTATACAGGGGCAGAGCCACATGATGTCATCATGCCTGGAACCTGGAAGTAGGCCATCCTACATATCATAACCACTGATGTGTATCCTTAAGAGAGCAATGTGATGGTATTTAAAAAGGCAATAATCTGTGGTGCACCAAAGGATTCAGTGTGCGTTTTGTGGCTGGAGTCTGGGCTGAACTTCATAGTGGATTGCAGACCTGTCATACATGTTTTTAGAGGATCACTGCTGTTAATGGAATCCAGGTTACTCGGAAAGCGCATGCTAACCTTACCGGTGTGTGGGTCAATCTTAGAGGTAAGCTGTTGTATTGAGAGGTGGTGGCACAGATTGGTGAAGCACATATATTTTTCTGGAGAATGCACGGCAAACACGCATTTGATGGTATGCACAAAATATCACCATGAGTGCACAATATAGGTGGTAATTTTGACCATTCTCGTTGTTGGTCTGTTCTCCCTGTTCAAGTATTTCTATTGCTCCACCTATTGGTGGTTGCTTTGATTTCACATCTTCAGCTCGTTTGGGCTCAGTTCTTGTCCTGGTCTGAGCATCAGCCTGATCCTCTGTGATCTCCCCATTAGTCCTGGTTTTTGCAAACAGCTCCTAGTTCTATTTTAATAGGTGTCAGTGGCTGTTGCACATCCCTTATTTGGACTGCTTTTGGACATTCTGACTATTTCAGAAGGCCTCTATGTCTGTATTCCTTGAGGAATGATAAAAAAATAAAATGTTTGTACTTTTTGAAAACTATTTTTTGAAGTCCATTGAGGGACACAGGTCCCACCCCTCTGTGTTTATTGGTTCATTTTCATTTTGGGGTAGCTTTACATTAAGAAGCATCATTCTTCATTTGTCTCTCAGTAATATTGTAAGATAGTATCATGGTAAGAATGAAATGCTAAGTAGTAGAATAGATAAATTGCATATATATTTATACACAGTACATTGTCCTAACAATAAATAATTACCAAACACTTGTTATATTTTCCACAAATAGAGAAGAGGCAGTTTTAAAAATGATCACTACACTTTTAGGCAATCATGTAGACTCACATATTCATAACTGCATTAGTGAACAGCAGTCACCTGCTTCCCCAGAGCAGTGGCTGTTTGAAGCAACAAAACAATATGTGCTGAAAATCCAAACCAGGCAACAGACTATATCTTGTTAGTCTAGTGAGGCTGGCTGCTGAGGTCAGTATGCGTCTGTTAGACCTCTGAATGATGATCTGTGTAGAGTTTTTCTCCATTTGACCACAAACAGTTTAGAAACACACCCAGGAAATCCCAGAAACACACTTTACCATCCTGTTTGTAAAAAAGTAATGGTAGCTCACTCAGAGTGTTTGCCACAGACTGTATTGCCCTGTTGATGTATTAATACAGTATACTCCTGTATATTGTATTGTGCTCCTGCCAAAAATCGACAGGATGTCATAAGGAAAACCTGCAAATAAAAACCTTTGAATCATCTTAATATCTGTTAATAGTCTTCAGATAGATGTTGGATTATTAGTGTATGGTAATAACCTGTTTATTTGTAAATGTCTTTGATGCTTTTTGTAGGCATCCCCTGGCTACGTTCTTTCATCTGTTTTTTCGAATTGGTGCTATTGTTGCCTATTTGTTCTGTGACTGGTTCAGCAAAAGCTTTGTAACATGCTTTGTCACTATCCTGCTCCTTCTGTCCTTTGACTTTTGGTCTGTTAAGGTAAGACTCTATTATCTGTAATTCAGTTACAATTCTTTCATTAACATTTTCCAGCATAGGCTTGTAAATATTAAGGTGGCATTAAACTCTACAGAACAAGCCACCCTGCAGTTGTAGCAGTTAGTTACAGGATTTAGACAAACCGTTTAACACTGTGCTTATGGTGGTCAGCTTTTGTTTATATATGTAAAACCGTTATCCCAAAAGGAACACAACTGTATTTGTAACTGATTATGAAGTGTGACCTGGAGTTTGGCTTCTATTTGTTTAGTGTAGCTAAATCTGTTAGTACATTTAACACTACTCTCCAGCCAGAATGAAAATGCTGCTATCTTTAGGCGTCTCTGTTGCACCTTCACCCAGAGTGTAGGCACTCTAATTACAGGAGATGTGTTACTGGCTAGATCACAATGTGAAAACAGAGAGGGAGGGGGGAGCCTAAAAAAAGAAAACTACTGAGGCCACTACATCTAATGAATGGTAAGCTGCAATATACAGTGTTGTGAAAAAGTTTTTTTCTATTCCTAATTTTGTTTTGCATGTATGTCACACTTAAATGATTCAGATCTTCAAACAAATTTTAATATCACACAAAGATAACCTGAATAATTACGCAATGCAATCTTTACATGATGATTTATTTTATTAAGGGGAAACGCTATCCAAACCTGCCTGGCCCTATGAGAAAAAGTAGCTGCCCCCTTGCTAAATCATGAATGAACTGTGATTAACCACATTTTTTGGAAAGCTGAGTTAAATTTAATTTGCCACACCCAGACCTTATTACTGCCAGACCTGTTGAATCAAGAAATCAATTAAATAGAAGCTGACAAAGTGAAGCATGCTAAAAGATCTCAAAAAGCAACACATCATGCCACTCAATCTAAATAAATTCAAGAACAGATGAGAAAAAAAAAGTAATTGACATGTATATGTCTGCAAAGGGTTACAATGCCATTTGTAAGGCTTCGGGACTTCAGCAAACCACGGTGAGAGCCATGATCCACAAACAGCGAAAACTTATAACAATGGTGAACCTTCCCGGGAGTGGCCAGCCTACCAAAATTATGACAACTCATCCAGGAGGCCATAGAAGAATCTAAAGAACTGCGGGCCTCACTTGCCTCAGTTAAGTTCAGTGCTCATGCTTCAACAATAAGAAAGAGACTGGGCAACAATGGCATCCATGGCAGAGTTCCCAGTCGAAAGACTGTGCTAACCAAAAACAACACAAAGGCTCATCTCACATTTGCCAAAAATCATCTTGTTTATCCCCAAAGACTTTTGGGCAAATATTCTGTGGACTGACGAGACAAAAGTTGACATTTTTGGAAGGTGTGCATCCTGTTACATCTGGTGTAAAATTAACACAGCATTTCATAAAAAAAACATCATGCCAACAGTCAAACGTGGTGGTAGTATGATGCTCTGTGGCTGTTTTGCATCTTCATTACCTGGAGGGCTTGCCATAATTGATGGAACCATAATTGGAACCATGAATTCTGCACTTTTCCAGAAAATCCTGAAGAAGAATGCCATCAGTTGGTGACCTCAAGTTCCAGTGCACTTGGGTTATGCAGCAGGTCAATGATCCGAAGCACACCATCAAGTCCACCTCTAAATGGCTCCAAAAAACAAAAATAAGGTTTTGGAGTGGCCTCGTCAAAGTTTGGACTTAAATCCGATTGAAATGCAGTGACCTCAAACAAGCCATTCATGCCCAAAAACCCTCCAATGTGGCTGAATTAAAATAATTCTGCAAAGAAGAATGGACCAAAATTCTTCCACAGTGATTTGAAAGACTCATTGCCAGTTATCACAAATGCTTGATTGCAGTTGTTGCTGGCAAGGGTGTCACAAACAGTTATTAGGTTTAGTGTGCAATTATTTTTTCAGATAGGGCCAGGCAGATTTGGACAGCTTTTTTCCCTTAATAAATGACATTATTATTTAAAAACTGCATTTTTTATTTACTCGGGTTATCTTTGTGTAATATTAAAATTAGTTTGAAGATCTGAATCATTTAAGTGCAAATAGGCAAAAAAGAATCAGGAAGGGGGGAAAATACTTTTTCACAGCACTGTATTACATTTTTAGTTTTGGGTTTGATACCGCTTCAGAGGAAACTTGTCAGGAGAGAAATACGAGAGCCATTATTGTTGGTTGTCTGCATGCTTGATCCAGGTCATTGGATCGCGGGATAGTGTAAGAAGGAGCAATATAGTGCTCCTGGATCTTTTACCTTTACAATAAAATAAAGGAAGCTCACATCTCACTTTAAATTATTTTAAAACCAAATAACATGATCTGTTTTCTTGTTTACACTTTTCTGATGTAATATAATGCTTCTATACTGAAATTATTTAATTATTACTGGGAAGAACCAAAGCACTGCTGGCAGTAAAGCAGGAAAGAAGAGAGGAAACAAGGCTAATTATGACTGCTTAAAGCAGAGGAGCAGTGGCTGCCACTTGATTGGAACAGATGGAGTAGAGCAGGAACAGGTGAGTGTGAGCACGGCACTGGTGCTTGTCCTTGTAAGCTCTGTTCTTCAGAACAGGGTTTATTTTTGGTGCATTGGTTGCATACAGTGAGGAAAATATTCCTCAGAACTTCAGGCAAATTCTTGAGATCTGAAATGCTGCTAACCCACCATATACCAAAAGTGCTTTATTGTACTGTGATCTATAGACATAGTGCAAGTTCCTCTCATGTTTGTGGAAACAAATCTTATATATTCTATATTCAGTCATATAAAATACTGACAGCCCCCCTGTTGCAGCATTATGTTTTGTGGTAACTTCCACCGACCCCCTCCTTTATCCTCATTTGTCTTGGAGATTCATTGCTCCAGCCAGCTGTATGATCAGTGTCAGACTTTAACTCCCAAACTTTGGAGATTCACTGTAGAATCTGCTCCCAGGTCACTGCAGACAATTGACCTTCTGCATACTCTGTGTCATACCATAGGCACCAAACCCTGAGGATTCACTGCAGTCTCTGGACAGACAGTGGGTGGAGTGTGGGTGCAGCGCTCCTTTTCAATGGCAACTAAATGTCAATCTTTCTCCAGACCCTCTCATGCACCGAGTTTGTAGTGGAACTTCAGGCTGACAACCTAGCTCCCACATAATAAGACTTAAAGTTCATTGAATCTTCTCTCTGAGGGTTGCACATCTAGTTGGGCATCCTTTGTTTCTAAATTGAATCTTTTGCCAGGCTATAGGCATTCAAGTATTCAAACATTCAAGCATTTACATATTCTTAACAAGGAGCCAAAGCCACTGAAAAACTGATTGCTATCTGACAACAATGCCTCTATTATGTTTTTTTTTAGATGAGCAATTCCACAATGCCCTCAGTAAATAAGCTTGTTTTAACTGCTTTCTGTCCACCCTATAGCAGTAATACTGCTACAGGGCGGCACGGGTGTGCAAAATCACGTATATATACGTTATTTTGCATTTCTGGTAGGGGGTGCACACGCGGCTTTGGCTGTTGATAACCGGGTCCCTGCCGGTGATTACTACCCGATGATCGACGAGCATTACGAAATGAGAGAGAGAACTGTAGGTAAAAAATACAGTTCTCTCCCCTGTCAGCTCCTGCACACTGCTATGCATGGCTTTGCATAGCAGAGCCATGCAAAGCAGTGTGCCTACAGTGACGCACACACACACAGCATACAGTAAGCCCTGGTTCACATATATGCCGCGTGCATTCATTTGAATGGAGTCCTGTGCCCTGTGACACACAGAAGAATTTCCTGCACTTCTTCTGAAAACGCAGCCTGCACGAGAACCGTGGTTCCCAGTACGGTTGCGTTTTCCAGTGCAGGCGGTGTGCCATTAGAACTTATGGCACCAGCCCGAGGGTCCGCATTCCTCTGTGTGGGTGGTGTGCACGGATCTTCATGCGGATCCACAGTGGCACCACCCGCACACATGTTAACCAAGCCTAAAACAGCACACAGCTCACAGTTAACCCTTTGATCTTCCACATGTTAACTCCTTCCTGCCCAGTGCCATTAGTACAGTGTCAGTGGTTTTTATTAGCACTGATCACTGTATTGGTGTCACTGGGGATGTCAGTGACATCAAGTCAGTTCCCTCCAGTGTAAGAATACCCGCCACAGTCCCACTATTAGTCGCTCATCGCCGCTATTACTAGTAAATAAAAAAAAAAATCCCAGTATATATACCACCGTTTTAAAATGCTATAACTTTCATGTTAACCAATTAATTTACATGTAGTAGGATTTTTTTTTAGCAAAAATATGTAGCAGAATACATTTTGGCCTAAATGTATTTAATTTGATTTTTAAAATTTTTTTTACTTGACATGTTTAATAGCAAAAAGTAAAAAAATATTGTTTTTCTCCAAATTGTCGGTCTTTTTTTTTTATAGCGCAAAAAATATTAAATGCACAGACTATCAAATACCACCGAAAGAAAGCTCTATTCGTGGGAAAAAGATGTAATTTTAATTTGGGTGCAGCGTTGCATGACTGTGCAATTGTCCGTTAAAGTAACACAGCGCTGTAATGCGAAAAATGGCCTGGTCAGGAAGGGGGGTAAAGTGAGTTAAAGCTTATTTACTGCTTATGAAAACAGGTACATTTGTATGTTATATTGTAAAGCGCTGAGCAAACTGTTGGCACTATATAAATCCTGTATAATAATAATAATAGCCTGGCTGCAGGCTCACTTTATTGTGGGCCTGAAATCACCAGGCTGGACCTGGCAACCTTCCTTGCACTTTAATTACCTTTCCAGTGCCCAGTGCAACTCCTATTTGGTGACTTATCCAGCTGACTCACTAGATGACATTTGTAAGAATTACTTTGCAATGGCAAACGTGTCTGTGTTCTAGAAGCTGCCATCAATAGTTAAGGGTTACTAATTCAAATGTCTAAGGTATTGTAAGATGGTAATTGCTATTGTTGACTCCCCTATTCCTTTGGATTCAAACAGACCTTTCCAAAGGGTTGTCCCTGAGCT